TGAAAACTTCCCAAATTCAGTAAGATGTAAATCTACAAATCCAAGAAGGTGAGCAAATCCAAACAGGATGAACCCAAAGAAATCCACACGAAGACACATCATAATTAAACTAAAGACAAAGAAAATATCTTAAAAGCAGCCAGAGAAAAACACTTTAACTATGGTAGAATAACAATTCATGTAACAGCAAATTTTTCATCAGACACCATGGAGGACAGCTGAAAGCAACAAAATATTTTTGAAGTGATGAAAAAAAGAATCAACCTAGAACCCTAAATCTAGCAAAAATGTCCTTTAGGAATTAAAGGAAAATCAAACATTCTCAAATGAAGGAAAACTAAAAAAATACGTCATCAGCAGACCTACACTAAAAGAATGGCTAAAGGAAGTTCTCTACACAGAACAGCAACAATAAAAGGAAAACCGTGGAGCTCAGGAAGGAAGAACACTGTAAATAACACAGGGGTAAATACAATGAGCTTTTCTTCATCTCTTGACTTTTCTAAATTATGTCTGAAGCTTTAACCAAAGATTATAATATTGCTAAGTGTAGTTATAAATACATGCAACAAAAATATTTAAGGCAATCATATAAGCAGAAAAGGATAAAGGGACATAGAGGGAAGTAAGGTTTCTATATGTCAACCAAACTGGTTAAGTGACACAACCAGGAAACTGTGCTTAGTTATGTATATATAATGTATTAGACAAATCACTAAAAAGGCTACACCAAAAAATAAACTCAAAAACACTATAGATAAATCAAAATGGAATTCTAAAAAATGGTCAAGTAAACCACAGGGAGGTAGTATAAACAAAACAAAACAAAAATGAAAAAACAGAGCAAACAGAAAACATAAAACAGCAGTCTTAAACTCTAATTTATCAATACTTACATGAAATTCAATGCAAAAAATCTAAATATACCAATTAAAAGACAGACATTGGTAGAGTGGACTAAAACATATGACCCAACTATATGCTATCTACGAGAAATTTACTTCAAATAGGCAAATTAAAAGTAAATGCATAGAGGGGTGCCTGGGTGGCTCAGTCAGTTAAGCATCTGACTCTTGATCTCAGGATCATGAGATCAAGGTCATGCTTTGTGTTGGGCTCCATGCTGGGTGTGGAGCCTACTTAAAAACAAAAAAAGTAGGGCGCCTGGGTGGCTCCGTTGGTTAAGCGGTTGCCTTCGGCTCAGGTCATGATCCTGGAGTCCCGGGCTCGAGTCCCGCATTGGGCTCCCTGCTCAGCAGGGAGTCTGCTTCTCCCTCTGATGCTCCCCCCTCTCATTCTCTCTATCTCATTCTTCATTCTCTCTTTCAAATAAATAAATTTAAAAAATCTAAAAAATAAAGTAAATGGACAGAAAAAACAAAAAGCATGAAAACAGTAATCAAAAGAAAGCAAGAATGGGTATATTAATGTCAAATAAAGTAGATTTCAGAGCAAAGATAATTACCAGGAATATAGAGCAACATTAAAAAATAAGAAAATGGTCAATCCACCAATAAGACATAACAATTCTAAATGTGCATGCACCAAACTGCAAAAGATGTGACCAAAAAAAAACTATTTATATAGTCTTAGAGTTGGAGACCTCAACATTTCTCTCAACAGCTGACAGAACAAGGAGACAGAAAGTCAGCAAGGATATAAAAGAACACAACAACACCATAACCAACAGGATCTAATCAATATTTAGAACACTCTAGCCAACAGCAGAATACACAATTATTCACAACAAATATCAAAACAGATCATATCCTGGGCACAGAAGAAACCTCAACAAATTTAAAAGAACTGAAATCACACACAGTATGTTCTCCAAAACAATGGAAAGAAACTAGAAATCAGTAACAGAAAAATACTGGGAAAATGGCCAAACTTGGGAACTAAACAACACACTCTTAAATAATCCATGGGTCAAAGAGGGAGGGAAATAAAAAATATACTGACCTGAATTAAAATACAAATAGAATACATCACAATGTGTGAGGAAAAAAGCTAAACCAATCATGAGAGAAATGCATAGTACTAAATGGGTAATTTGAAAAGTAGAAAACTTTCAAATCAATAAATATAAGTTCCAATCTCAGCAACCTAGGAAAAAACTATTGCAAAATAAACCAAAAAGCAAGCAGAAAGATGGAAATAATTAAGAGCAGAAACAATGAGAATGAAAATGGAAAAAACAATAGAGAAAAATCAATAAGACAAAGAACTGGTTCTTTCAAAAGATCAACAGAACTATCATGCCTCTAAGCAGGACTGACAAAACACAAAAAGAGAATAAACATAAATTACCAATATCAAGAAAGAAATAGGATCTACATATAATTAGAAATAACTAGGGAATAACTCTACACATATAAATTAGACACCTTAGACAAAATGGACTGATTTCTAAAAAAATACAAACTACCCCAACTCAGCAAATATGAAACAGATCATGTAAATTGCCATACAACTATTAAGAAAATTGAATTCATAATTTTAAGAATCCCAAAAAGGAAATCACAAGGTCCAGATTGCTTCACTGGAGAATATTACCAAATATTAGAACAGAGTTAACATAGATTCTAAACAATCTCTTCTGGAAAACAGAAAAGGAAATACCTCACAATTAATTTTAAGAGACTAGTATTAGCATGATATCAAAACCAAACAGAGAAAATACAAAAAAAAAAAAAAAATTACAGAATATTGTTCTCATGAATACAGGCACAAAATCCTTATCAAAATATTAGTAAGTAGAATTAAGCAATATTTAAAAAGAATTATACATCACCACCAAGTGGTGTTTATTCCAGGATTGCAAAGCTGGTTTAACAGTCAAAAATCAGATCCTTCATACTAATAAACTAAATGGAAAAAAAAAAAAATCACATGACAAATCAAGTGATGCAGAAAAAGCATTTGACAAAGTTCAATACTCATTCGTGATAAAACCTCTCAGGAAACTGGAATAGATAGGAACTTCCTCACCATTATAAAAAGCATCTACAAAAACTTACACTAACATTATACTTAACAATGAAAAGACTGAATGTTTTCCCCCTAAGATCAGGAATAAAGTAAGGTTATTCTCACCACTCTTATAAAACATAGTAAAGAAGTTTCAGCCAGAACAATAAGGCAAAAAAATGTAACAGAAGGCACATAGATTGAAAAGGGAGAAATAAACTGATTGTCTATGTAGAAAATCCAAAAAAATTTCCTAGTCAATTCAGCAAGGTTGCAGGACACAAGATAAACATATAGAAATAAATTGTATTTCTATATACTAGCAATGAACACATGGGTACTAAATTATCCAAAAGTTATTTAACAATTTTTTTAATTTAACAATTTATATGGAAAGGCAAAGGACCTAGAATTGCTAGAATATAAAAAAAGTAGAAGAAAGTGTGAAGAACCAGTCTATCTGATTTCAAGACTTACTCTTAGCTACAGTAATAAACATGGATTAGTAGAACAGAAAAGACAAACAAGAAATAGACCACACAAGTATACCCAACTTATTCTTGACAAAGGTGCAGAAGCAATTCAATGGTAGAAAGTTAGCCTTTTCAAAAATATGGTGCTGGAGCAATTAGTTATCATAAGCAAAAAAAAAAAAAAAAAAAAAAAAGCTTGACCTAAACCTCACATTGCACACAAAATTTAACTCAAATGGAACAGGAACATATACGTAAAACATAAAACTACAAAACTTTTAGGAAAAAACATAGGGGAAAATCTTCAGGCTTGTAGGCTAAGCAAAGAGGAGGAGGAGGAGGAAGCAGAGGAAGGGGAGGACGAAGAAGAAAAAGGAGGAGGAGGAAGAAGCAAAATCCACACTGAACTTTATCAAAATTTTAAAACTTTTGCTGCACTTAAGACACTGTTGAGAGGATAAAAAGATAAGCTATGAACTGAGAGAAATTATTTGCAAACCATATATAAGACAAAGGACTAGTATCTGGAATATATGCAGAACTCCAAAAACACAACAGTATAAAGAAAAAGAAAAATCTAACTAGAAAAAGGGCAAAAGACATGAACAGGTATTCCACTGAAGAGTCAAAGATAGTAAAAAGCCACAGGATACTCCAAATTAAAACCACAATGAGCTATCACCACACACCTAACAAAATGGCTAAAATTTTTTAAAAAATGACAACACCAAATGATGAGGAGGACACAAAGAAACAGAATCACTCATACGTTGCTGGTAGGGATATAAAATGGTGTAGCCACTGTGGAAAAGTTTGCCAGGTCCTCAAAAAATTAAACAGAGAACTACCACATGATCCAGCAATTCTATTCCTTGGTACATACACAAATAGTTGAAAGCAGAACTTGGGTATATACACAAATTACTGAAAGCAGAATTTATGTATACTTACACTCATAGCAGCATTATTCAAAATAGCTAAAAGGTGGAAGCAACATAAATGCCCATCCATGGATGAATGGATAAACAAAATGCAATATATACATATAATGGAATACTAGTCAGCCTTTAAAAGGAAGGAAATTCTGACACATACTACAACATGGATGAGCCTTGAAGACATTATGCTAAATAATGAAATAAGCCAGACATAAAAGGACAAATCCTATATGACTGCACTTACACCAGGTAACTAGACTAGTCAAAATCCTAAAGACAGAAAGTAAAATTATAGTCTCCAGGGGTTAAGAGTAGAGAAGAAAAAGGAGTTACCATTTAATAAGTACAGAGTTTCAGTTTGGGAAGATGAAAAGGTTCTGGAAATGGATGGTGGTGGTGATTACAAAACAATGTGAACATGTTTAATGTCCCTGAACTGTATACATAAAAATGGTTAAAACAGTAAATTGTATGTTATGCAGAGTTTACCATAATAGGAAAAATTTTTAAGTTAAATTTTTAAGAATTCCATAACAACAACAAAAAAATCCATCTATGGTATCTAAAAAGAAGTGCCAGATCAAGTTTTCCAAAGTACTAGAATCTCAGTTCGTAATACCTGGTTGCTTGCCCCATACCCAGCTCTCTAGGATTGATTTGGCCCTACATGCAGGTGCAGGAGTTTCTTCTTCATCTTTTTTCTCTTTGTCATTCAGATCTTCTTTCTTTGTTCCACTTTGAGTATCAACACCATCATCTGGAAAATCAAAATTAAAAAAAAAAAAATTCTATAAATTCCTTTTCAAAATGTAACATCCACTTGTAACATCCTCTTTACAAAGTCCCTCCCGGAAATGGAAAGGTTAAGTTACAATATACATCATTAGTTGAATACTTGATGATTAAAAGAAAATTACTAAGAATCATCACCACAAAAGGTACACTGTGATTTATGAAGTAATGAATGGTCTAGTAACCCTTTTAATAAAGAAATCAATATATCATTCAAATTCTTCTTTGAAGCAGGTCTCCTAAAGTATTTCATCAATTTCCTACTACATTTCACAACTAATAAACTTAGTCTTTGATACTACCTAGTTGAATTTCATGTGAATTGCTTTTATCCAGTGATTCCCAATTGCTGTGTCCATAAGAAGGGAGGATGTGAAATGGTAGCATGATTCAAAAACCACTTTTAACTCTATATATTGCCATACTCCACCAACTGAGAACCACTGCTACACAGGACCACTACCACGGACAAAATATAATTCAGGAGCTTTGGGACACACAAAAAAAGCTGAAAACCATGACTTTGGGCCACTGACAATTTAAAGTTTCAGTCAAGAACAAATGTCATGAAACTCCTTACACACAGCAAATAAAACCTAATCTTGAAGTATAAATGTGTCCTGTCCTAAAAGGCCCTTACTAAATGAATTATTTTCTAAATGATAAATAAATAGAAATATACATCTAAATCTGTGAAAGATTATATCATATTACAAACAGTAAGAAGTATCTAAAAATAACTGAAACCAACAAGTAACAATATCAAGAAACTCCTGCAATTTATAAGAGAAATATCAGATATCAAACAGAAGGACTCCCAAATGACTAATGCTATGAAGAGATACTCAAATTGTTTAGAAAAATATAAATTAAAATAATGAAATATTACTCTACATTCACCAAATTGGCAATTGCTAAAAAGCTAAAATATAAGCTCCAAGACAGGATTTTTTTTCCCCATTTCATCTGGCTTTGTTCACTGATAAATCCCAAGTGCCTAGAACAACACATGCCAGAAAATAAGCTTTCGATGATCTGTTTGATAATTAATGTCAAGTGTCAGTGAAAATGTGGAGCTGGGGACATAAATCTTCAGGCACAGCTGGCCAAAGGGGTAGACCCCACACAACCAGACTGGAGAGTTATCAAGTGCCTCTGAGTTACATGCAAGGTCCTCTAATCCCTTCCAGGGGCTATGCTTACAGAACTCCCATACAGGCCCACAATTAGGAGGATGCAGAGGACAGAAACCCACAGCAGTCCAATGCACTATGAATACGACTTAAAAATACAGTACTAAATGGCAAAGGGAACAAACTCAGGCTAAGGAACCACACATTCCATTTATACAAACTAAAAATGCATGCACATTAACACTAAAATGTTTCATGATGATACAAACATATTAGAAAGGAAAACATTTTAAAAGATGGATTTGAAAATGGTGTGCCAGGAACCATGAAGCATAATTAACTCAACCCTCAGTTCCTGAAGCTGAAGAAAGGACCTTTGCCACTGATACACTTCATGTGTCCCATTCTTTCAACCTCCTGCCAAAGCTATGACTAAGAGTACCTCTCTTATTTACAGAAATATCCAACTGGGCTTTAAATACGGATTTTTTTTTTTTTTTTTTTTTGTAACATGTTCAAGTCCTAACCTCCAGTACCTATGAGTGTGACCTTATTTGCTAATAGGGTCTTTTTGGATGATCTAATTAAGAAGTCATTAGGGTGGGCCCTAATCCAGTATGACTGGTGTCCTTACAAAAAGAGGAAATGTGAACACAGATATACACAGAGGAAAGACAATGTGAAGACATAGAGAGAAGGCAGCCATCTAGAAGCCAAGGAGAGAGGCTTGGAACACAGCCTTTTCTCATAACCCTCAAAAGGATAAAACCCTGCTGACACCTTGATTTCAGACCTGTAGCCTACAGAACTGTGAGACAATATGTTTCTGTTGTTTAAGCTTCCCAGCCTGTAGTACTCTGTTACAGCAGCCCTAGGAAACTAATACAAATACTCCTCCTTAGCACCCTCAGAGATGTCTTCACCGAAGAGGCTTTAGGAACCTCCTCTCATGCCCCCTGGAGTCTCTGGACCACCTATGATGACATGTTGCCCACAGGCTTCAGATGCAAGAAAATGCCCTTCCCACCCCTGCACTATACATCATTAGAGTGGAAAATTCTAGCCATATACTGAGCTTTCCTAAAAACAGAGGCTCCCAAAGACCCTGAGCCTGTAACCCTCCACACCTAGCTCCCCACTATGCTTTGGGTCATGGAAGCAGCATCCCACAAGCTTGATAAAAAAAAAAAAAAAAAATGACCCAATCATATGCCATCTTTAAAAAACTCATTTAATATATAATGATACAAAGCAATTAAAAGTAAATGGGTGGGGAAAATACATACCAAGAAACACTAATCAAAGAAAGTTGAAATGGCTATATTAATGAGACAAACTCCACAGCAAAGAAAATTACCAGAGATAAACAGGAAAAACGCCTAATAATAAAGGGGTAAATTCACCAAGAAAACATAACAATCTTACATGTGTATGAAGTCAAAAATAGGGCCTCAAAACACAAAATGAGAACTGAAAAGAAAGACGGACAAATCCACAATTATATTAGAGATATCAACACTACCCTCTCAGTAACAGAACAAGTAGAAAGAAAACCAGCAAGAATAAAGAACTGAACTTCATGATCATCAACCAAAAGGATGCAATCAACATTTTACACACTGCGCCACCAACTACAGCAGAATATCATTTTTTTTTAAGATTTTATTTATTTGACAGAGAGATCGCGAGAGAGGGAACACAAGCAGTGGGAGAGGGAGAAGCAGGCTCCCCGCTGCTGAGCAGGGAGCCCGACACGAGGCTCAGTCCCAGGACCCTGGGATCATGACCTGAGCCGAAGGCAGACACTTAACAACTGAGCCACCCAGGCGCCCCCAGAATATCATTCTAAAAAAAAATGACACCTTGATTTCAGACCTGTAGCCTATAGAACTGTGAAGTAGATACTGACTATTCACCGAGTCAGACCACATCTTATGTCATAAACCAAATCTTAACAAATTTAAATGAGTTGAAATCAACCACATTAAGCATGTGTCCTCTCTATATGCCATTAAACCAGAAATCAATAATAACAGAAAGATGACTAGACAATGTCAAAAGACTTGGAAATTAAACAACACATTTCAAAGTAATGCACAGGTCTCAACGGAAATGTAATTAAATATTAAATAAATAAATAAATATTTTTAATTAAATGAAAATACATCACAATCTGTGGGGTGCAGTTAAAATAGTGTTACAGGGAGATCTGTATTATTAAAAGCTTATGTTAGCAAAGAAAAAAAGGTCTGAAGTCAACAATCTAAACTTCTACCTTAAGAAACTAGAAAGAGAAAAGCAAAATAAACCAAAAGCAAGCAGAAAGGGGAATAATGAAGAGCAGAAATCAATAAAATTGAAAACAGAAAAACAGAAAACAAATCAATGAAACTAAGAGCTGATTTGTTGAAAAGATCAATAAAATTGATAAACCTTGCACAAGACTACTGGGGGGAAAAAAAGACAGTAATTAACAAATATCAGGAATGAAAGAGGGCTATCTCTACAACCTGTGCAGATCTTAAAAGGATAAGAGAATACTACATCAAATCTAAACCCATAAATTCAACAAGTTAGTTGATACAGACCAATTCCTCAAAAACCACAAACTGCCAAAACTCACCCAAGAACTGGGTAAGCTAAATAGTATGATAACTATTCACGAAATTTACTTCAGAATTTAAAACCTTTCAAAATAGAAACCTCAAGACCTAGAAGGTTTCAATGGAGAATGCTACTAAATATTTACATAAGAAATTTATACCAATTCTACACAATCTCTTCCAGAAAATGGGAGGAGGAACATTTCCCAACTTATTTAACAAAACCAGTATTACTCTAACACCAAAACTAGACAGACAAGAGTACAGCTGACCCTTGAACAACAAGGGGGCTGGGGTGCCAACTCCCTGCCTGTTGAAAATCCACATATAACTTTGGACTCCCCAAAAACTTAATTACAAATATAGCCTACTACTGACCAGAAGCCTTACTGATAACATAAACAGCCAATAAACACACGTTTTGTATATGTATTATATATTGTATCCTTACAATAAAGTAAGGTACAGAAAAGAAAATGTTAGGAAAACCATAAGGAAGAGAAAATACATTTATGGTACTGTAAATTATCTGCATAGAAGCAGACAGGCACAGTTCAAACTCATGCTGTTCAAGGTCAATCATACTAAAATACAGCTATAAATAAGTATCCCTCATGAACATACATGCAAAATTCTCAACAGAATATTAGTAAACTGAATCCAGCAATAAAGAATAATACACTATAACCAAGAGGAGTTTATCCCAGGAATACAATGCTGGTTCAGTATTTGTAAATCAATCAGTGTAATCCCCCACAGAAATAAGAATCACTTAATTTGAGAAACACAACAGAGGATCATAGGGGAAGGGAGGGAAAAATGAAACAAGACGAAACCAGAGAGGGAGACAAACCATAAGAGACTTAATCTCAGGAAACAAACTTAGGGTTGCTGGAGTGGAGGGGGCTGGGAGGGATAGAGTGGCTGGGTGATAGACACTGGGAGGGTATGTGCTATGGTAAGTGCTGTGAATTGTGTAAGACTGATGAATCACAGACCTGTACCCCTGAAACAAATAATACATTATATGTTAATTAAAAAAATTTAAAAAAAAAGAATCACTTGATACTACTGATGTAGATAAGGAATAAGGTAAAGATGTCCATTTCTCTTCACCCCTATTTGATACTATACTGGAAGTCCTAGTTAAGGCAGTAAGACAAGAAAAGATAAAAACTGTTCCTCTTCACAAACTACATGATTGTCTTCAAGAAAATCCCAAGAAATCT